AGTGAGATCTTTCTATATATGAAGTTTCATGTTGATATCTCAAAGGCTTTTGTAGTTATACATTGTACTCTGCAAAAATTTAGTATGAAAAATAACAATGGGCAATAACTGAAAAATAATGCACGCTCAGTTATCACTCTTGTGTGCAGCACTCCTCCTCAATGAGGTCTATCCACTTATGAAGTTTCAAGGTGTTACCTCTTACACTTTTTGAGATATGCTGCACCACTCAGGTGAAAAATTTAGTATGAAAAATAACAAAGGGCAATAACTCATAAAATATGAAGGGTAGAGTTATCACCTCCTGAGTAAGATCTACCTCTAACACTTTTTGAGATATGCTCCGGACAAAAAAGTATGAAAAATAACAAATGTCAATAACTAAAAAATTATAATCGGTACAGTTATCATTCTTTTGCACAACATTCCTCCTCAATTAAAGATCAATCCACCAATGAAGTTCATGTTGACATCTCAAAGAGCAATTACTCAAAAACTATGAAGGGGTAGAGTTATCACTTTTTTGCACTGCACACCTCCTAAGTTAGATCTATCCATCTTAAAGGCTTTTTGAGTTATGCTCTGGACAAAAATTAAGTTTGAAAAATAACAAAGGGCAATAACTGAAAAATTATGTAGGGTAGAATAATCATTGTTGTGCACTGCACTTCTCCTAAATATGATTTATCCACCTATGAAGTTTCAAGTTGATACCTCAAATACTTTTTAAGATATGGTCCGGACTAAAATGAGGACGGAAGGACAGACTGAAGGAAGGACAGGCGGACGTACGGAGACTAATTTTATATCCCCAACTGCCTTTTCGGCGGGGGATAATTAAACATTTTCCAGCTTATAGCTAAAGGAAACTCAGAATTTTGCTCACAATAATGAGACATGAATTCTGAATGAAGTTCAGAAGAATTTGTGTAAAAGACTGATTTACGGACCCAATTAAGTTATTGTACAACCTGGTATGGTAAATGCTTACTGTAAAACGCATATGGAAAACCAAGTCTCATTTTAGGGAAAAAATGTTTTATTGCGCAAGAAAATGAAATTATTCAAAAAAGACAAGAAGAAAAGCATTGATGCAAAGCATCAAAAGGGCGACGCCAAAAGAATTTGACCTAAATACTTAACAAAAGATGTGTACTTTATAGATGTACCATTTCATGTGACCTGGAGGCTAGGCCCAGTTTAAGTTGAAACTTAAACCAAAAAGAATAGACACTGTCTTGCCAAGATGCAAAGACAATTTATAGTCAATTAACCAATCTTAAGATTTATTTTACCAGATACAAGGATACCTGAGTCATCATCATATAATCACATGCACGAGTATCGAACCTGGGAAGAAAATCTAGTCATATTTTTTCTTCCCAGGTCTGATACTTGTACCTGTCACCGCAGCATATAATAAAGCTTATTGCTTAGGGTTGCAGACAGTGTGATCAACTGTATCAAATGCTTTTACAGTATCATGCAATACTGCCTTTGTCCATTTCAAATTAAATGCACTTTATTAAATGAATAAAACATGTGCCAGTCGCAAAACCACTTCTAAACCCTGACTGAAACTGCCTGACCATGACTCGAACACATGACTTTCAGAAGACCAACTGAGCTATCTGGCCGGCTACACATTTTCTCTTAAATAATGAAACAGTTCTAAACCACAACATATTTCTCCACTATATTGATTAATGTCCTTGAATTTCTGATGTTAACAGAGCATAGTGAATTAAACTCATGGTTATATGCAGTCACAGGATGATAAAAACTTTCAGCTTCACCATAACTCAAACCTGTGACCCACAGAATAATGTACGATTGAGCTATCTGGCCACTTACACATTTTCTCCCCTAAATAGTGAACAGTTCTAAACCATGACAGATATTTAGATTTTTAAATTAACAGATAAATAATTCTTAATTAATAAATAAGAAAAAAAAACCTTACATACTCATATAGTCTTAATTAAGATAACAATTTATATACCATTGTATAATTATTTTTACTAAAAAGGGCTTAGACAGTTATTGGTTGTGCTATTAATTTATAACAGGTCAATTTGAAAGTGAAAATAACTGTGCTAATTCATGTACAATATCTATTTTTTGTACAGATAAAAAACTAACCTTTTTTCTATGATAAGAAATTTTATGAAGACTGATTTGTATTTTGCATCAAGGGCACCGGGCGAAAACATGAAAATTATGCAACCAACGAACCACTTCGTGGTAGATTGTATTTTCATGTTTTCATCTGGCGCCTGGTTACTTAAATTTGTACTTTGTTGGTTTTCATGTGGCACATTTAATCACCCACTATAAAATTTAGTGTACAAATTTTACAAGGGCAAGTAACAATCTACTCTATGAAAAGTATGTTGTCGGGTTGACTCAGGAGACCTGGAGATTGAGACCGGTGTCCCTCCATTACAAATAGATAAGGCAGAAGCTGTCCATTTCAAACTATACACATGTTAGAAAAAAATAGAATGTAACTATTCAGAATATGATTTGTTTTGAGACTTTATCAATTATATTGCTGGATCTTAGATGATTCAGGACATTTTCAATCAATACATGTATTATCATTTATAACTTTAAATGAAAGTCTCATCCCTTTAATAATAATGACATAACTGTAACTCTTTAAATTCAGAAATATTATAAATCCCATCATATCAATATACTAAGATATACATGTATGCACATAACATTACCAATTCCCAGTTTCTATCAAATGAATATGAAATCCTAACATTAACATTGGTACACTAATGGATGGAATTCAAAATCTAGTAGAAAGAAAACTATAATATATAAACTCTGTTAATATAGATACTATTATTAGCCAGCTAATACTGGGTATAAACATCTTTAACCTGACAGTAGACTGATCATGTATTATCATTTATAAATTTAAATGCAATAGTCTCATCCATCATAACTTACAAGTCTTTAAATACAGAAATACACATTATATCCATATTAACTATGATACACTTGTATGAACATTACATAAATAATTCTCAGGTTCCATTAAAAATAAATATAACATCCTATTAACATTGGTGTTTGGGTGGAATTCATAATCTTGTAGAAAGAAAACTATAATGTACATGATATTGTAAAGTATAAAAGTAAAAAAAAAATCTCAATAAAAATCATATAATAAAGATTAAGTTGTGTGAGTTTCTAAACATTAAATGCATATCTCTTACAGTAACAAATACTGTCCCTCATTAGACTTTACTATAAAACTAACTGTATATATATCAAGTGTTTAAAATGAGCACCCATATGTATAGCTTAAATATTCTACTTTTTCATTTTTACCAAAGGTTATTTTATGAGCAATTTACATACAAACACATAGAAAATAATAATTTCACATATTGATTAGAATATTCCTCTAGCAGAATACCTATAGTATATGTGCTAACTGAACAAACTAGAAAAATCTGGTCTAAGGTATATAAAGCCAGTAAAAAAATATTTATCAATATTCACTCATCGTGGCCTCTATGCTTTTGATTACCTTACAACTGGTAAATTTTATTAAACAAAAATAGTAAGTAATACCTAACTTCAATCTAAGATAGACAGAAAAGAACAAATAATTTAGTAAACATGAGTTACTTCCCCTTAAAATAGAGAAAACCTGAAACCCAAAAGAACACCCCAAACATCAAAATTAAGAAATGTTGCAGGCTCAGTTTTATTAAGCCATGCAAATTCATGGTAAAGTATTCATAAAAAAATAGATGGCCATGTGACAGCAGTTTTTGCAGAAAATCGGATAGCTTTCAACATCCGGATACTGGTACACCTTGTAAAAACAACCATTCTGTGCAACAGATAAACGTAATATATAAAATTAATAGGATAATCGTTTATAACAGTCCATTACCTATCCTTATACTAATTGGCAGGTGAACTTTCTTCATGTAGGAAAATTTTGAAAATATATGAATGAATGAACGAATGGATAACGGCATCAATGTAGACCACAACGATATTCGAAATCCGGGTTTTAGTATGCGAATTTCTCAAGTGTGTCGAAAGGATGTGCGGAATTGTGTAAATATATCGCGTGTTGATAAAAATACTGTTTAGATTCTACAAATGTATATGATTTGAAAGGAAAATGTTTCTATGTAACTTTTCACGGAAATGGGCTGTACAATGATTGCGTGAAAAGCCAATAAAATGTCGGCTGTAGAAATCGAAAGGAATTTTGTCACGTGACTTTTGCCCATGCTACCGAAAACTACCCATCACAATATCACGGCGTTGAGACGCCGTGAAATAATGAATAATAGTCTGTCGAATAACTAAACTAGTTTTAGACTAGCAATATTTGAATTGTGTTACAAGAGTTAGTTATGATCTGTTCCAAAATCATAAACTATGATAACGGGCTTTTTTGTCTTCATCTAAATTGTATTGAACAAAAATAGTAAAGGAGTTACAATTTAATTTATGTGTAGCTTTATAACAGTGCATTGTTAAAATATAGATAGCATTTCAGTCAACGATATAACGGATAGGATTATGTAAGCAAAGTTGTTACCAAATGTGCAAAAAGAGCTAACTGGTTACCAATGTACGAATATATTTGAGCCGCGTCACGACAAAACCAACATAGTGCGTTTGCGACCAGCATGAATCCAGACCAGCCTGCGCATCCGCGCAGTCTGATCAGGATCCATGCTGTTCGCTATCAGTTTCTCTACGTGTAATAGAGTTGGTAAGCGAGCAGCATGGATCTTGATCAGACTGCGCGTATGCGCAGGCTGGTCTGGATCCATGCTGGTAGCAAACGCACTATGTTGGTTTTGTCGTGACGCTGCTCATTTGATATTGTTTCTGGTAAGGATTTGTTGTAGATAAATGCCTTTATAAGTTGACAAATTGGATAGAAGTGTCAACTGTGACTTTCAACAAACACAGCAGAAAAAAAAACACTTAAATGACCTTCAACTTACAAGACAACCTTGGTGAATGGTTAGTGGATAGACAGCTGGTATCCTGTTCTTATTTTTCTGCTGATGGTAACTTGTTCTAAAATAGATCAAGTAACGAAATATATCGCAATATATCACTTCTATTAATATAGAATATGTCATAATATAGAATATGTTATTCTATTTATAAAGAATATGTCATTTCTATTTATATAAAATATCATTTCTATTTATATAGCATTTCTATTAATAAAGAGTATGTCATTTCTATCAATAAAGAGTATGTCATTTCTATTTATAAAGAATATATCATTCAATATCAATACAATCTCTTTACTTTATACATGTATACATATTTGAACCTGTTTTTTTACATTTGTTACATATACATGTTAACATAGTCGATGTATTTCGTTAATTATAAATCATTTTAGAAATATGGACGATAATTTAAAAAATTAGAAGACCCAGTGTTTAATTTTAATTAATCCTTATTTTACTTTCGTTTCACTATTAATTTATCATATCTTATTATTGAGATGAATTTAACATCATTTTGTCACCGACAGTCGCTGCTTGACAACGAACAATTATCTTATATTCATACCCACAATTTACTCTTATTATTTTTCCATTACCAGTTCAAAATACCAAGTAAAATAGAAACTGTTCGATAAATCTATACCGCTGTTACTAATTTAAAATATCTAAAACATAATAACAACAATTCGCTTACCTCTCAGTTTTAAATCACTTTAATTATCTTTTAATCTCATATTTATTGTATACACATGCATATGCTAAATTAAATCTAGGTATTTAAAAACTATCAATGTTATAACTGGATGGTCAGTACCTGACTGCCGTAAACAATGCATTATGTTAATTATCGATCAAAAAACATAGATCTACATACCGTTGTTAAAATGTAGACATTACAAATTATAGTTAAAGCCAAAAGGTAATTAGAGATACTCCGGAACTTAGAAAATGTTGGGGTTTCCCAGCTTATCCTGAGTGCAAATATAAGTGTCACGCTTTGACGAATAGATTTGCACTATAAAGCTATAACAGTTAAATTTGTTATTTACCCCGGGATTGAATTGATGACATATAGTTTACCAAAGTAAAACCTTTATAAGTAAAACCTTTATTCAGCAGAATTAGTAAATTCAAATATATGATCTTGACTGCTCTGTGCGTAATGCGATATAACATATTGCGAATCCTTACCTTGACAGCACATGTGAGTATTTAGTTTTTAAAAAAAACGCTTTTTGTGAAAGTAGAATACCGGTAGGTTATTAGAGAAACGTTTAAGGGTCTCCATGAGTCCACTGACCACTATGACCACTGATTTTTGTACGATTTGATCTAATTTAGATATTTTATCACAAATCAGTTCATTGCATTCATTAAGGCTAGACGTTTTTCATTCTTAGTCACTTTTTTTAAAACGTTTTCATGATGACATGTAGCTTATAAAGCATCTTGAATGTAAAGTACGCAGTCTTTTGAGAGCATAATGTCAAGAAAGATCTAGGTATTTCATTTCTTACTTTCCTGTTAAGGGTGAGATAAGTCCATGTACATGAATATGTATTTTTTTCTAGATGCGTATCTTTAATTTATAACCTTTTTTAAACTAATAAGTCTTCTTTTAACCTGACAAGTACAGACTCAATCAAACAGTCTGTAATTGCCATGTAAGTATTTTGTGATTATTGCTTCCGAGACTTTGTCTCGTTTTCTATACCACTTTGTAAAGGGGGGATTTTGTTGTTCTGTCCATAGATACCGATGTTTTAGACGATGTTATTACGCTGTATTTGTTTAGTTTGTGCAAGAGAAACATACATACATTCATGATTTTAATTTGACGCTCAGCTACGTAAATGTTGTCTATGGTTGCAACCATCTGCGATGTCGGGAAAAAATATTTAAACAATTATCTTATAAAACTAAAGCAGGGAAACCAGAATGTTGGGGAATGATTACATCGGTCAGTCAGGTGTAATTATAACAGGAAATTAAAAAAGATGTAGCGATTGACTGTAAATTGATTAAGCACAAATATGCACTGTCTGTAAAAATCTGAAAACAAAGTGATCCCTCGGAAGTATTAATCATAACAAAATTACAAGAGAATTGCAGACTCGGTTTGATTGAGTCTGTAGAATACATGCAACATCCCTCACGCCCCTAGCACCGGCTTGGGCGGTACTCTTAATCTTAAGGCATCAATGATCCCAAAGAACAAGAAAATTATAACAACACTGAAGTGAAGTACGGGTTAACTTTTTACAGCTGCCACACAGCCTTTGACACCTGCTGTTGTGAAGTATAAAAATCTGGAAACAAAGTGATCCCTCGGAAGCATTAATCACAACAAAATTACAACAACTATGTATGAACCACATAGTTCACAATTATGTCTCAATTTATTGTTAACGGCTTAGCAATTGTTATAAACGTTAAAGCAAACATATCTGTTTAAAGCTTGCAACATATGTTGCATAAAGAACTATCTCAAAACCATTGAAAATGAATGTAACATAAGTGACAGAGATATGGCAATCTGTAAACAAAGTGATCCCTCGGAAGCATTAATCACAACAAAATTACAAAAGAATTGCAGACTCGGTTTAATTGAGTCTGTACATGAGGGATAATGAATAAGTGCAACATCCCCCACGCCCCCTAGCATCGGCTTGAGCGGTACTCAATTCTCAACACTTAATAATGCTTGCATCAATGATTCCGAAGGACCAAAAATATAACAACACTGAAGTGAAGTACGGGGCAACTTTTTACAGCTGCCACACAGCACTTGACACCTGCTGATGTGAAGTATAAAAATCTGGAAACAAAGTGATCCCTCGGGAGCATTAATCACAACAAAATTACATAAGAATTGCAGACTCCGTTTGATTGAGTCTGTACTTGAGGGATAATGAATAAGTGCAACATCCCTCACGCCCCCTAGCACCGGCTTGAGAGGTACTCAATTCTCAACATTTAATAGTGCTGGCATCAAATCAATGATCCCGAAGCACCAGAAAAATATAACAACACTGAAGTGAAGTATGGGGCAACCTTTTACAGCTGCCACACAGCACTTGACACCTGCTGTTGTGAAGTATAAAAAACTCGATTACAAGATTGATGTATCTATGTATCTGTATTATTTCTATCATTGATAGTTTTCAGGTATTGTGCAGGTACCAGTAACATGAAAAAACACATTTCGTTGTCAGTTAAAATATTTATGATTTAAGTATATATGATGAAACGATTCAATAACAATCTTCTAACATTTGCGCTACTTTATCAAAGCTGCATTTGTTAATTTTTTAGAAACACAAAACAGAAATGGCTACATTTCGTTAATACAATGGGTTTCCTAACGAGTGTCGTTCTACTTTTGGTGTCCACAACACTACATTGAGTTTCATAAGCGTAAATGTCTGCAGAAAGTTTTATTTGTATGAGAAACTCCGCATTTGCGTCATTCGAACATCAACATAAATTTAAAAATAAAAACATGTGTTTAATTATCACTCCGATTGTAGCGGTATATTACAGCATTAAATAACAGATATTTTTATAAAAATGTCATCATTCTTCTTTTTCTTATTTTGTGTACGGTAGGTCCAGTGAACCTTGAACAGTTAGTTTGCACATAAATAGGAAAATGCTCCACTTGCCGTGTTCCGGATGACAACTTTTTCTTTGAAAGTTTAACAATGTGACGTTTAGATGGCATGTGCGCATGCAAGAACTAGTCTTCATTTTCGAACTTTAGTGTTACCGAGGGGTTTTCCTTTTTAAAATAATATCTGGAACGTTTGAAAGAAAAGCTATCATGTTAAAGGTGAGGTAACAATTATTGCAATATTTTCAGTTGATCTAAGAAGTTACTTCCCTTCATCAGGAAATGATCGTTGTTTTTGTCTGTATGATATTTGTATGGTATGTATTTCTCAGATTTAGAAAAGGTTAGGAAAAGTCGAATATCGTCAGTTTTGAAAATTGTTTATTTAATTAAATAATATTGATAAAAATTAGAATTATATTAAGTTCAGATTATTGATTATTGTCTAACACAATAAAAAAAATCAGAAATAACAACACATTGTCCCCTCAACCGAGTAAAATGTCGTTAGTTTGCATTGTTCGTTATTGTTTTTATATTGTTCCTTTTTGTTTTTTTGTTTTTTTTTTTGGTTTTTTTTTTTGTTTGTTTGCTTGTTTTTTTTTTTTTTTTTTGCTAATTCGATTATACGTTTCAGATTTGTAGTTTTCTTGTTCAAGAGTTTTACAAATTCAAAATTCATATTCAATGTTTGGTCTTAATATGGCATTTTTATGTAAGTCGTTCAGGCTTCTCAATCTTTCTTGGCAAGGACAGCGGTTAAATAACTGTATATTTTCCCGCTCCAAACAAATGTAGTTAAGCTCATTGTTATATATTGTTTCCTTCTTCAAAGTTCATTAAGCTTGGATCTACTTATTGATTCAAATGACCTTAATTCAAATTAACTCCCTCTAGCCATCGTTTTTCCCCTTCACATAACAAGTCTATGAATCAATATTTACACTGGCAGTTTTCATATATTTAATACAGAAATAAACGAAATGGGTTTAAACTTGGGATGACTGTGCTAGATGCCAGGTCACCTTTCTATTAATTTTTGAAGACTCTTTGTACATATCTTCAAAAAGTGACGTCAGACAATATGATGTGGTTTTGTATGATAACATTCCCGAGACTGCACAACCTATAATAGGTATAACAAATTTAACAGCAATTGCTGCTGCTTTCGAGAGGGCATATTCTCTACAAAGAGCTATTAATCCTTTTCGCGTGCAATTTATCAAGAAAGCTTTCATGTCAAGTTTATTTTTCAGTTCTTCTTCGTGCATACCTAACATCTTTGCGCTCTTCTTTATAGCCTCTTCAGTTAACCCAAATTGCTCCTTGTAAAACTCAGTTTCTTTAACCAACAAAGCAACGTCGACTGCTACACCTACTCCCGGAACTGGAATAGCGCCAGCTATTGCAGATGTCAGAGCAACAATTGGGATTCTTTTTTCTAGTTCCGTCTTTTTCTGAAGTAAGATCTTGTCAGAATGACCAACAACCGAAAATGCAATTGCCTCCCGTTTAAATCGTGGTGCATCCTCGATAAGCTTTTCTTGCAGTACATTGAAATCAAATTTGTGCGGCATAAAGTTGTCAATTAAGTAAACAGGGCTGTCTGGTATACCATATTTTTTAAGATTATCTTGACAATCGGCTTGTATCGTGCATAGAATTTCTTCCTCAGTTCGGGGATTTGCTCTGCTCATTGGTTCTGTGTAGATGTCAATGTATACTTTTGTACGTACAAAGTAGAGCCGTTTGTTTATATTTCTTACTTCTTTAGCTAGCCAGCCGTCGTTTTCTAGAAATCGTTCGGACGAAACAACAAGGAAAAAATCATATTTTGCAAGATTGACTTTTTCGAGGTAGTCTTCACGTTTGAAATTCTCTGTACCAACACCAGGTAAATCCCAAAATACTATATTACTGTTTGAGGGATGTGTATATGATTTAATATCTTTTGTTGCTTCTTTAACATCTGTATACGCGGCTCCCTCTTCTCCCACTTTGAGACCCCGAATTGCATTGATATAACTTGATTTTCCAGCTCCTGCTTTTCCTGTAACTGCAATGTGCAATGGAATATGACGCCATGCATTTAGCTTTTCTGTCGCATAATTTTGTATACCAGATATTCCATAATCTCTGAATATAGCAACAAACTTATCTCCTTCTTCTGCAGGTACATTCTTGATTTCAAAACTGTGGCCAGCCATCAATTAATTTGTTCGGAAGAAAACTGCAAAATAAAGTGTTTTCCAATCTATTAAATCATTGCTGTTATCTCTTTGTCCAATAAAATGTACACAATAAGCTAAATCACGGGGGAGGAAGTGTTACACGAAGGATGGAGTTCTTATGATAACTTGTTTGGAGTTCTTATGATAACTGTCACGGAGTTCCTGGAAAACGTTACGGATTTCTGTGGAAAACTTTTCTATATACTTGACAACTGGCGTAA